ATTAAGGAACTTTTTCAAAAGATTTTTACTAAATTCATGTTAATGCAGATGAGTGGAATTGATCTTCAAAATATTGTTCTTTAGATTCACTATTACGGGAAGTAAAAAGATTTTGAAAATTATATAAAGTGGTTAATTTAAATTTTGTCATAAGGTTTTTACTTTTAATATAATTTTTCAGGGGCTACACCACCTAAAGGCTAAATAATTTTTATGGGGCTATACCACTGGAGGGAGCATGGCCCCTTAAAAATTATACTAAAAAAATTAAAAAAATAAACTTTATAAAAGTTGCATAATTGTTATTATAGTTACTAAAGTTGCATAATCTATTATAGGTAAAGCTTAAAACTTTAACTACAGCAGATTTCGAAAAATATACAACTTCTTACAAAAAAAATGAAAATACCAAAAAAAAAACAGAAATGTTTTAGCAGGTTGATTTTGCTTACCCTAGCAACGTTCATAGAAACGTCAAAATAAGGGATTTTTAAGTAAATTTTACCAAATCTAAGTATTCAAACATTTAACGTTGTTCTTTTAAACTATGTTTAAATGGCATAATTTAAGAGAACGTTGATTAGCTTTATTACTAACATAGGTGAACGTGTATTTTATTTGTATTTGTCTCCGTTGTACAACTTTTTTATTTTTTGATATGTATTTTTATTTTTTGATATGTATTTTTACACAGAATTTTACATTTTAATGAGCTTCAAATCCGGAAAAATACAAATAAAAATTAAATATTTTAGGGCATTTTATGGTCAGGAGTTTGACCTAAACGTAGACGTGTAGAAAAGGCTTACGATGCTTCAAAATTAAGTTATCCAAAAATTTGTATGAAAGGTAATTTAGTTACCTGAAATACATCGTCACTTCCGCGGTGCTCTGTGATAAGACCGTTAGGACTTCTTGGGTCACCTAAATAACAAAAAACAAACTGCAAACTTAAACTTGATGTATTTTATTTTTTAAGATATCTTTTGGCTAAAACCACTTAAATTTGCTCAAAAAGTAGAAAAAAACGAAAAAAAATTTTCAATGTTGTTTATTTTATTTAAAATAAGATAAGCAATTACATTAAAAATATTTTTTTTTGCAATCTATCACTTATAACTTTTTTGCTTTTTTTTTTACAAGTCCACGAAATACGAATTTAATAACATTTTCACAATATATGACCACAATAACATCTCAAAATCTATTAATTCAGCTTTTTGTTTCAGTTACTAAGTTACATAGCAGATACAAAAAACATTTATCCAATACTGACTTTAATATCTTAAAAGCAGGTGACTGAATAAGCGCGAATTAGCACATGTGCGAACTGGCATAAGTGCGAGCTGGCGTATGTGCAAATTGTCATAAGTGCGCCAAAAGATTTTGCAAATATTGGCAATAAGTGCGAACTGGCATAAGTTCGAAGCAGTTACAAAAACTGGCATAAGTGCGCCGAACAAATTTGTAAATATTGGCATAAGCGCGAATTGGCATAAGTGCGAACTAGCATAAGTGCGCCGAATAAAATTGCAAATATTGGCATAAGTGCAAATTAGTACTTAGCACTTGTACCAATGTTTGTAAATTTATTTAACGCACTAATGCGAATGTTTGCAAATTCACTTAGCACACTTATGCCAGTTCGTACTTGTGCCAGGTTTTGTAACTGCTTCTCACTTATGCCATTTCGCATTTGTCAGTTCGTACTTACGCCATTCGCAGTTATGAAAATCGCGCTTAATCAGTCGTCCCATCGAAAGAATATGATTTTCCCTGATAATCTTGAAAGATAAAAAACTTTTGCAATCAGAGCTGTGACTCGTTTTTAACTTTAAACTAAATATTAAACTATTATTTAGCTCGAAGTTATTTTGAGATACTCCCTTAGGTTTCTTTTATTTTGAGGATTTTCAGAAAAACTTCTGACTTTTAAAAGTTTTCAATGACTTTTTAAATGTTAATGTTAATGTGATGTTTCCAAGTTAAATTTTCATCAATATAGATTCCTAGAAACTTTGTTACTTTTTCTCTTTTTATCATTACAATGTCAATATATAGTTCAGGTAACAAATGTGGTATTCTATGTTTTTTATAGAGTGGATAAAAAAGTGTCCATTTAGTTTTAGCAGTGTTGAGAGATAACCTATTTATTTTGAACCAATCAGAAACTTTTTTTAATTCATTTGTCATGTTGATGAAAAGAATATTAATATTTTCATGAGATAAAAATAAATTTGTGTCGTCTGCAAAGATTATTTTTGTTAGGCTTGAAGTTTTATGAAGATCATTTAAGATATATTATAAAGAGAAGAGGTCCAAGTATGGAGCCTTGTGGAACACCACACGTTATATTCATTAACACTTGAGACGAGGATTCTTTATTATAAACATATTGCTTACGATTTGTAAGATAGCTTTTTAACCAATTGAGGGTGTTGTCTTTTATTCCATATGATAATAATTTTTTTATTAGAATTTGATGGTTGACGGTATCAAAAGCTTTAGATAAGTCAATAAATACTCCTAATGTGAAATGAGATTTTTTAAAAGATTCTGAGATGTCGCGCGTAAGTTGGAAAATAGCGTGTTCTGTTGAATTGTTTTTTTTAAAACCAAATTAGTTTTCGTATAAGATTTTATTGTTAATTAGATGGTCGTAAATTCGATTGAACATTATTTTTTCTAGTATTTTTGAAAAGACTGAAAGAACTGAAATAGGGCGAAAATTATTTATGTTTGTATGATATCCTGTCTTGTAGACAGGAAATACTTTAGCTATTTTTAGACAATCTGGAAACATTCCTTGACTGATGGATGCTCTAAAGATTTTAAAAATAACGTGTTTTATAACATCACAAAAGTCTATTATAATATTCACATTAATATCATCATACCCAGTTGTTTTATTTCTTTTTAATAAACTAAAGGCAATTTCAAATTCATCATAAGTTAGCTCAGTAAAGTGAAAACTTGATTAAGTTGATGTTTGGAATTCAGCTGATTTATCGTCGATATACGGAATACTATTTGCTAGTTTAGTTCCAATTGTTGTAAAAAATTTGTTAAATTCAGCTGCAATAGTTTGAGTCGTTAATTAGTTTGTTGTTAATTTTATATCATGTGGCAGAGAATTTGTATTTGTTTTAAGTTTTCCTGTAATTTCTTTCATTATTTTCCAGATTTGTTTCGAATTATTTTTATGTTTATTGATCAAGTAGGAGTAGTATTTTTTTTTGCATTTTTGCGAAGTTTTTCAAATAAGTTTTTATAGGTGATATAGTTATTTTTATGTTTTACTGATTTTGATTTTAAATATTTAATATATAGCTTTTGTTTTATTTTCGAGGATTTTTTAAGACCTTTTGTAATTCAGGGACATGATATGTCTTTTGTTTTAACAACTGTTTCACACATAGGAAAATTTGTATCATAGACTTGATAAAATGTTTTAAAAAAAGTGTTGTAAATTGTGTTTATATTATTATTAAAGTTTAAATGTTCCCAATTTATTAGCAACAAATGTTCTTTGAAGGAGTTTAAATTAATGTTGTTGAACAACCTCTTTTTTATGGTGACACTTTTATGCATTTCTTTTTTAAAGTCTAGATTTATTGAAAAAAATATAGGAAAATGATCAGATACATCTGTTTTAATTATTCCTTTTTTAAGCGATATATTAAAAAAGTCAGTTGTTAAGATATTGTCAAATGAAGTGGATGAATAATTTGTAATTCTTGTTGGTCGATTTATTATTGGTATTGTTCCTGTTTCAAATATATTGTTGTAAAATTTTCTAGTATTTTGATTTTCGTAATAATCAAAACAATCTAAATTAAAATCGCCAATCAAGTAATTTTTTTTATTTTCGAGATTAGTTTTTTCTAGATTTTTCTTTTGTAAAAAATTGCTGAGGTCTTCAGTTCTTCCTGAACTGAAGGAGGCCTATAACAACAGCTTAATAGCAGGTTTTTAAATTCTTAAAACATTTTACTAGTTTTCCAGCTATTTCCTGAGTGAACACTGCACGATAACACCTATTTTTTTATATATTAATAAACTTTTTTAACTTTGTAAATAAGTTAATCAAAGCCTACATCAATTTTATTATGAATCAATTATAATTTATGATTAACTCAGGTTAAATAATAGTCGTAACTTTAAGATTTCTTTGTTCTCTTTTCACCTTTTTTTTGTTGTATTGTTTGGGGTCTAAAAAAAACTTTTTGCTAAATCGCATTACTAGTTTACAGCTTGCACACAAAAGTAAAAATTCTAACATTTCAGGGTCTTATAAATGTTTATAATTGTCTTCTTGCATTTTATTTTCTTCCAAATTAACTACCAAACTCTTTCTTTCATTATTTCAAATGAAAAACATAAACATCGTACTAGAAACAGAAAATGTTAAGCTACAATGTTAAATACAATTTTAATATGATAAGTTTTCCATAGAACGCCAGCGTATTTTCCATTAGAAATTTTCAACAGAAAAAAAAAAAAAAAAATCCGCAGAAAAATATTATCTTGTTATTTACTGCTTCACAAAACTTAACTCGAAAAAACATAGTTTAGGCGTATATTTTTTAAAACATCTTTCTGTAATGTAGCTGAATAAATTCACTGCAGTTTAGTGAATAAATTATAAAAATATAAAAAACTCCTAGTATAAAACATTACATAAAGAGTATAAGTTAATATTAATAATATGAAATAAAATTTATTTTGATAAATTAGATATCTAAAAAAAAAATCAATTTTATTTTAGGTAAATAATTGTTTTCCCCGGTAATCGGCAGATATTTCAAAGCTTGCTGGAGCAATCTTTGTACAGAAGTAAAAGTACGACCCTGGTACAATAAAAAAATAAAATTTCGAAAAGTAAAATATTAAATTTCTTAATTTAAAAAAGCTTTCCATACTATTAACATTCCAAAAACAAAAGTATATATATATATATATATATATATATATATATATTTAAAAGCATATATATATATATAGAAAAAAAGATATAAAATACATCTTTGTGCACATGGTATAAATAAAGTTAAAAAATAACTAAGGATTAATTTTCTAAATTACAATATTCAAAACTAAATATCTTTGCTAATCTGTGGTATATCAAACGACTGCCTTGATTTTGTTTTTATTTTTGGAAGCCATTTGCCGCTCATAATCATTTCCCCTAAACGAGCTCTCTGCGCAAAAGCAAAACCAGAACGTGTTGACGCCGGACGTGAACGCAAAGAATGGTGTTTTCCACGAAGCTTAAAACCAAATCAAAAAGTTTTTTATATAAAACTTTTTTATCAAACTGAATTGGATATATTACCCGTATATTAATGCAACCATATTGAGATGCTAAACAAGTTAAAAAAATCTATTTATAATCAAAACTTACATGTCTTTTAGGACGACTTTCTTTCCATAAACCACGCCTAACATATTCTGTAAAGGTAGGATATAATTTCTGTTTGCACCATCTATAACCAAGAACCGGCAATATACAAACAATTGAAGTCAATAGAAGAGCTGCCCAAAACACTCCACTACCAAATGTATTTTCAGCTGCTCCAACGGACGGAAATGTCGATGGCAATTTATTAAACGCAACAGAAGAGTAAGTAGCAAAAGTATATAAAAAATAAAACACAATACTTCCCCAAATAAAAAAATGATTAATCCAAGTCCAATGACAGGTGTCGAATGCCATCTAAAATTAAATATTTATAATAAGAATGGTCATTGTGATAACATGACTATCATACAAGTATTTATCATGAAAACATTAAAATGAAACATAAAAACATATAATCATAACCAGTCCTCTAACCAAACATTTTGCAAACACCACTCTATTTAAGCAATAGCAGTTAAACACAAATTACACAAAAACAAAGAAAAAAAAAATCGTTTATTAGCTAGTGTCCCAGAATAAAGAAAAAAACTGACAATGAAATCACAAATAAAACTTAACTCAAAATATTATGACTTTACTAGGCTATAAAATAGCACAATTATAGACGAGAAACCAATGTCATATGAGTTTTCTGAGAGTTTTTATCAAACAAATCAAAAAGTTTACCAGCTGTTCTTATCATCCGTAAAAATAGATTTTATGACTATTACTGGTTTATGCAAAGAAATGATGTTTAATACAGTTGACATCAAATCAACATTTCTTACAAGTACTTAATTAAATCTAGTATGATTATTTGAGATGACATTTAACAACCGTTAAATGTCGTTATTATATCTATTTATAATATAAGTAATATGTCTTGATGACAAAATCACTATATACTTATTTCTACTGTAACTAGAAAACTCTACGCTTAAAAAAATTTTTTAAGCGTACAGTTTTCTTTTGAGGTGAGTTTTTTTTGAGGTAAGTTTTTTTGACCCAAAACTGACCTCAAAGTTTTTGAGATCCCAAAACTTTTGGGAACTCAAATTACTGTCATCAACATTTATACTTTTAGTAACAAAGCTAAAAATTTGTTATGTGTAGAGTGCAGTAAAATATAAAATTTTTTCAAACTCTTTATCCTTATCTTGTCCTGACATCTCAATAAACTATCTATAGTGATAAGGTCCTCTACATTACCTTTAATGTAATATAAAATGCAAATCCTATTCGTTACTAAAATAACTAAACCTAATGGTTTAACAGAAATAAGCCTTCCAAAACCTTCCATAAAGCCTTCCAAAACCTTTCATAAGTTTTTTAAGTCTTAAGTTTTTTCATAAGTTTTTTAAGTCTTTGCAATCTTCTAGCATCCCTATGTCTTTGTATGTGTGTGTTGTATCTACATGTAGTGCATACATAGACACACACATGATACATAGACATACACATATATGTATGTGTGTGTGTGTATACATATATATATATATATATATATATATATATATATATATATATATATATATATATATATATATATATATATATATATATATATATATATATATATTTAGCATCCTAGTTGGCGACTTTCGGGGACATGTTATTTTTATTCCCGTTCTGTTGTTTTTTTTTTACTTTTTTATACTATTTTTATCATATTTATATATATTTTTTAATTTTTATTTTGTTTCTATTTTTATTTATACATATTTAAATTTATTATTTTATTATACAACTATATTTTTTATATTAATTTTTTGTTATTTTTATTTATTTATTTTATATTATATATCATTTTTAACTTCATTTATTTACAAAAACGATTAATTACAATAATATAACCAAATTTAAACCTTGCCGTAACCCTGACCCTAAGCCTGACTTTGATGCCTGGCCAAACCAAACCCTCAGTCGATGTAGCAGCACTCCCTTGCAAGTCAGGCTATTTGTCAGTCGATGTATGTACTTTTTGTTCTTTATTAAAGTTTCTTATGAGTACATTTTTTTACAAAAAAAATCATGCTTACAAGGACAAAAAATTAACATGTACACTAAAATGTCACTGATAATGCTAATGTTCCCATAAGAGTCTCCATAAGTGTTCTCGTAAGTGTTCCCCGTAAGTGTCCCCGTAAGTGTTTGTTTTTTTGTAAAATCTGTCCCCGTAAGTGCTAAACTATACAAATATATATATATATATATATATATATATATATATATATATATATATATATATACAGTAGCTTTCATAAATTTAGACGCATTCATTTTTTTTTCATATATGTAAGAAAATACTCAAAATAAAAATAATATAAAAGTGCTACCGCTATGTTTGATATATAATTTAAAAGAAGAAGTGAAACTCTATTATAGAGTACCTTAATTTTTTTTACAGGATGTTTATTACTCATTCTATACCGATTAACACAAAAAAGTTAATTGATAAGCTTGATTTTATTTTGTTCATAAATTTAGACGCACAATCAAAAAAGACTTATATCTTGTTAATTGATAGTTAATTAGTAGTTTTTTCCCCATATTTCTCATTAATAGGCCTAATTTAATTGATTTTGTCAAAAAACCTTATATAAATATGACTTACCTGGAATTAGTTAATCATTATTTAATAAATAAACAAAAGTTAAGTTAGTTTTGCACTAAAAAGATGTGAAAAATGGGCAAAAGACGTATCACTGAAGGTGAAAGATGGCAAATTATTGCGCACATCAAAGAAGGAACCAAAAGTAATACAGAAATCGCCAAGTTAATTGGAGTTTCTGAGAAATGCGTTCAGACAACGAAACAAAACTTTCTTCACACTGGTGGTGCCAGCAAGAAAACGAGGCCAGGTAGACCCTTGTCAACCACCAGAAAGGACAATAGTGTTCTTTTTAGAGCTGTCAGAGCTAATCCAAGAATTAGTTACAAAGAATTGACCACAGAATTCAATACAATGCGAAATACATCTATTTCTCAAAGCACAGTCCGCCGAATACTTATCAAATACAAGATTGGAGTCTACACTGCTTTGAAAAAACCGCTTCTGCGTCCATATGATAAACAAAGGAGACTAAAATGGTGTCGTGAAAGAAGGTATTGGACAATAGAACAATGGGAAAACATTATGTGGAGTAATGAGAGTAACTTTGAGCTTATCGATCGCAAATCTAACATAACAGTCAAAAGAATGGCTCACGAAAAGTATTACGCCAGGTACATTAGACCGACTGTACAAAGTGGAGGAGGCTCGATAGGAATCTGGTCATGCTTCAATTACAAAGGTGTTGGTATGTGCCAAATATACACCGGAAGAATCAACTCCAGAATATATGTAGAAGTACTGGAAAATAACCTAATTCCATCAATTGACCTGCTTATGCTAAACCATGATAAACCATATATATAACCTTATGATAAACCATGGAAACTTCAACAAGATAGCTCTACTGCACATACTGCATACTATACAAAGGAGTGGTTCAACAATAATAATATCATGACAATACCGTGGCCTCCATACTCACCTGATTTGGACTCGATTGAAAACATTTGGGCTTGGATTGACCGTGAATTAGCAAAGGTTCAAATTTCCACACTTGGTCAGCTGAAGGAATTCCTTAAGGAGACCTGGTATGGGGTCCTAGAAGCAATGTGCAAAAATCTTGTTGAGTCTATGCCTAGAAGAGTTCTTAGTTGTATTAAAGCAAAAGGCGGATACACAAAATATTGATTGGTTTTTAAATTACGTCTTCTAATGTATCGTGCGTCTAAATTTATGAATAATTTTTTTTGTCTAATTTTTTTAATACCATGTAGTTGTAACTAATTATTACTTAGTATTTCTTTTTTTTTGTAAACTTTTTTAAAATTTTGTATTCTCTATATATTTATCTAATAAATAAAAAAAAAACTAAACCGAAATCTTTTTTCGTCATTGTTTTATTGTTAAAAAACTAAAAATTTCTATTCTCAAATATGTCTAAATTTATGAAAACCACTGTATATATATATATATATATATATATATATATATATATATATATATATATATATATATATATATATATATATATATATATATATATATATATATACATATACTATATATATATATATATATATATATATATATATATATATATATATATATATACACTGTGTATATATATATATATATATATATATATATATATATATACACTGTGTATATATATATATATATATATATATATATATATATACACTGTGTATATATATATATATATATATATATATATATATATATATATATATATATATATATATATATATATATATATATATATATATATTACATATATATATTACATATATATATATATATATATTTTATACATATATATTTTATACATATATATATATATATATATATATATATATATATATATATATATATATATATATATATATATATAATATCAAATAAATAATAATATTTGAGTTAATTTATTTTACTTATTTTTTTTTCATTTTTGAATAAGAAGCCATTATAATAATCATTATTATATTTGTGAGATTATTACACAAATGTATATTTGTGAGATTATTACTATTATACAGTTGATAAAAATTTTAAATCTCTCTGAATAAAAATAAAATAAACATACTTGCAAATTTACAACAATTACTAGAATAGCTCCAATAGCAACTGATAATTCGTCATATATACTTTCGGGTTTTCCAGTAGAACTGACACGATCATGATATATTCCATAGAGAATAAAATATAATGCTAATGAAGTAAAAACTCCATGAAACAACTTAACAATAAAAGCTTTTTTGTTAAATAAAGTATTTGATTGACCTGGGATGTACAACCGTGGGTAACGCAATGAACTAGCTGCAGAAACATCCTAAATTAATAACAATAACAAAAAAAAAAATATATACATATATATTTTAAAAAAATATATATATATATATATGTGTTTTTATATATAAATATATACACACATACATATACATATATGCATGAATATGTATTTAAGACTCCTTTAATCACTTTTTTTATATGAAGAACTATGTAAACCCTGCTCTCAAAAGATTTAAACAATCTACTTTAAATGCACAATTAATTTATTTAATAAGAAAGCGTTTACTCAAAATCAAGATTTTATGTAAATACATTCAGCTGTAGTGATTTAATTCCACAACTCCAATAATCAGCTGACTGAATAAATTAAAAGAAATACCAAAACAATTATAATTAAGAGCTCTTATTTAAAAGTTTCAATTAAAACTTAAAAACAAGAAGACTACAATCAATTGAGATACATAAGGAGGAAAAGGCGCAGTGATAAGGGGCAAATAAATAAATTGGGGCATAGTGATAAGGCAAATATCGTCTTCTTAAAGCCCCGGTCATGTAGATTTTATTTATATAACACGGCATTGTATTCTTTTTTAGTGACAAAATAAATAAATAAGGACAATTAAAATACATAAGTCTAACATAATAACATGTCTTACTTTACATACTACTTTATTTACTATTTTCAGTTTTACTTTTACCTAGACTTCTGTCTGTGTTACGTCCATGTTCTTACTTATTAAGTTTATTAAACCCTTTAATGATTCTAAAGAGTAGTTTATGTCCAGTGAGGTATATCTGATTTCATTAACATTGTTTTGAAAAAGGATGAAAGCTATTTTCACATCCACTTTTTTTCAAAAATGATGTACTAAACCTTCTACTTGATTCCAACAATTTGAGTCAAATAGAATTCTTCATCATTTTAATTAACTTTTTCAAGTATAGCAGTTACTGCAAAATTTTCAGTCTTAAAGTGCCACTTAATTTTTTTATTACCTGTATAATTGCTAACTTTATCCAAAATTTACATTTCCTAGCCATAACCCAACAAAAAAGGTTAATTAATATCTTTTATTACAAACGGTTTATTTTATTCCAAAATATCTTGGTTGATCTATGACTGGACGCATTCTTTTTCAAAATTTAATTCAGATTTTAAAGTTTTTTCATCTTTAGTCCTTGTTTTTCATAGTTAATGTTTTATATGAGATATGAAACTTACATTCTAAAAAACTTTATTTAGACATGCAAAGTATGTCTAGGATATATTGTTACAAGCTGTTGTGGAAATAAACTTGTCCATCTATAATTGTACTTACATTCCATTATACTTGTATTACTTTCAATTATACTTTATTTTTTTAAACATATTTGTTGAAAATTTAAAATATAATTGAAAGTTTGACAAATCAATCATCAGCTCAACAACTTTCTTTTGTATCTGTTAACTGGTTACTACTGGTTACTCAATTCACGCAGCTCTTTTACATGTGAGATTTTTAGCGACAAGAAACTTGTGAGATCTTCACCTCGTATCAACAATGATCTACAAGAATCTAAATAATTTAATGTTTAGTTTGCACAAAACGAAGACTTTGAAATAATTTTTTTTTCAATTAAATACTGATATTTCTTTACTTTCCTCCTTATATCATTCTTCTGAGACAAATAAACTACTAATGCTACCTCTCTGCTATCAATAATGATCCTGCTATCAATGCCAAATATAAAGAATATTGATTATGCATTAGAATCGAATTTGAAAATCAATTTTTAACATTTCCATAAAGAATATTTAACTTTAAAATCCAGGTTACTCTTTATTCTAGTCTATTTAATTGTTTCGAATTTAATACATTAACAACCATTCTTCCTTACCAAAAATTCTTTTTCTTCTTTACTTAAAATCCATGGTTTATTTAAATAACATTTTTGATATATTTAAATTAAAAAAAAAAAACAACAGAAAAAGGTATTAACCTGAATTAAGAAAACTAAAAAAAATACCTGGTCAAAAATACCCAGAGCCAAAACAGGTAGGGATGTAAAGCAAACATTGTAAACTGATAAAAACCAGGTGTCATACAAAGTCTAAGGTGAAATATATTTATTTTATTCTGTTTTATGCAATACCTTAAACAATTAGATCTTACATTTTAAAAATTACTAGAAAGCAGTCACAAACATATATAGCCTACAATAGCAATTACAAACACACAGTATACCAATTATTAAAGAGTTACATACTAAATATTTAGGGGTTCCTGGGGCAAGTTTATTTAAGTCGCATTTAATTCTGTCTGCAAATGTAACTAAAGACACAGCTGGAAATCATTAATTATAAAAATATATTCAATAAAAATAATAAAAAAGTAAATATTTAAAATGGTTATCACAAATAAGCAACATAATGCAAACTTTTTTAAGACAAAATTAAACATTTTTATAAAGCTAACATACAATTCCTTATAAGGCTAACATATAAGTCCTTTTAAGGCTATCATATAACTCCTTATAAAGAAATAACAATGATTATTGTTATTATTAGCTTTGTATTGAGTCACACATTAATGTACTAGCAAAGTATCAATCAAATAACATCAGCAATGGCTTTATACTACAATGTTTGATTTTAATTATGACTTCCAATTTCAAAATTCATTTTTAATTAGGTTTTTCTTGCAGTATGAAAACACTTTCTTAAACTTTCTTTAGATAAAAAATTTCTATACAATAAGAGTGCTTTTAATGGATAAAAATAAATAATCACTACAAATAATATATAAAAAGTAATTAACTAAATTAAATAATAAGTTAAGTTAAATAAAAAGTTTGGAAAAATATTTTGACTGGACCCAGCATCGGTATAAGGTGAATATTTCTACAAGATTAAAAACCTTGCTCCAGCTTTTTATTAGCAACTAAGTTAAAACTACATCAAAACTATAACCACTAGTAGCTAAATTAAAATTACTTGTAACTAAGTTAAAATATAGATTAAAATTTTTTTTAGAGCCAATTACTTGTTGTAAGTTATAATCAACTTATAATAAACAAAATAAATACAAATACAAATATGAAAACATAGATTCAAATTAGTTACAAGTACTTGTTCTTCAGCTCTGGTAGAGGGAAGAGTAACACCTAATAAAACTATATTACCCTTCACATTATTATATCATTAAATTAGCACAACATTAGCCATCATAAAAAACTTTTTCTTCTTAGCCAAAGATTTTTTATTTAAATTTATTAAGACAATCTAAAATAAACTTATTTAATATAAATAATGACTTTATTTGTCTTTTTTTAAACAAAAATTGTTATGTAAATTCCATATAAAAAAAGTGGTTATAAAAAAAAGTTTTTTTTAAGAAGTAAATTACTAAAACTCTTATTTCAAAAATACTTTCTAATGAAAAGTTTCAAGTAAAACTTTTTTCTCTAAATTGATACTTAGTTTTGAAATACTTTCGGCTACAGTATTAATCAAAATAATTAAATTTAGATATTTAATGACTTGTTAAAAACAACACAAATGAGAACTTAACAACCCAGCAAATAACCATCCAAATGCAACCTTTAAATATTAAAAATTAAATAAAATGTTCTAAAACAAACTTTAATTTGTAATGTCAAGCATATATAACTTTTATTATATGTGTACATATAAGCTGTGCATTTGTATATAAAAAATTATGAAATAAACATCTGCATGTGTATATATATATATATATATATATATATATATATATATATATATATATATATATATATATATATATATATATATATATATATATATATATATATATATATATATATATATATATATATATATATATATATATATATACATATACACAAAGGAAACAAATTCCAATAAACTGATGTTTGAGGAAAAAAAATTAGACAAACAAGAGATTTTGGAGCACTTAGGAACAGTCACAGAAAAAGGATGAAACTTAATTGAATGACAAATAACAAGAGAATGAATTTTAATAGATGGCACAAGAGACTCTAGCTCTTTAGAGCAATGTCCATTAAAGTATTTGTAGAAAAGAGAAAGAGAAGCACCATTAGAAGATCCACCCCAGATATGGCAACAGTATTCCATACAAGGACCGGTTTGAAATTTATAGAGATGAAGAATAGAATTGAGAGTAAGAAAGTGTCAAGCACAATAAAGAGATGCAACCTTTGCAGAGGCTAATTTTGCAATGGATTTGATATATATTTTCCAAGAAAGATCAGAAGTAAGAGATAATCCTAGAAAATGTATAGGGCCAAGAATTGAACCTTGAGGAACCCCTGAAGAGACAGGATATGGAAAAGATTGCTGTCCATAGAGGACAACTTTTATACTACGATTGGAAAGAAAGGATTCAATCATCTTTAAGATTTTATCACATACACCATAAGAAGAAAGCTTATGGAGACGACCAGCATGCCAAACTTTATTAAAAGCAAATCAGCTGTAAAACAAGAAGATCGAAATCCATATTGATGATCAGAAAGTAAGTTATTAGATTCAAGATAAGAGATTAAGTATTTGTTAATTAAAGACTCAAAAACCTTGCTTATGATAGGAAGAAGACTAATGGGACGGTAGTTAAAGGAATCAGATTGCTCTCCCAAATTTTTGAAAATAGGGATAACAGATGCCGCTTTCCAACCTGCTGGAAAGCGGCATATTATTTTTGGAATCCATTTCTGACATTGAAATTGTGCTTTGACGATTCTTATTGACATGAAATACAAAAGCATCAATTAAATTTTTTTGTGTTTAAGATATTACACTTTCACATATTAGATATAACCTATTAGGTAGAGTCTTGTTTTTGTCCTATCATAAGCAAGAGTCTTGTTTTCCAACAAGACTCTATATAGAGTCTTGTTAAAAAACAAGACTCTGATAAGAGTCTTGTTTTTTAACAAGACTCTTATAAGAGTCTTGTTAAAAAACAAAAGACTAAGAACATTCAGTGTTTATTAAGTAATGCACAAAAAGTTAAAAAAAAATTCTAAACAATTCTTCGCAGTAATGTAAACAAAAAAATAATAATAATAATTAAATAGCTTATTTAAAAGTTGATATAATTTTATTTTATTCAAAGACATTTATAGTAAAAAATACACACATATAAATATAAAAATATAAATATTATTAATAAATATTTTATAAAAAATCATTAGCAGCGATTTGCAGCAATTTAAATGTGTTTCAATTAGTGATCGACAGAAATTCAGTTCGGTTCAGACCACAACTCTGACCGGGTTTTTCGGTTCCTGTACCGGTTCCAATATTATTTAAGATTTCGGTTCCAGCTGCAATTTTGGTTCAAAATGCTACCAAAAATGGATATCTTAAAGCTTTATTAAGCATTATTATTTTGATAAAATATTTAAAAATAAAGTTTTTTGAATTAAATGATAAGCTGAAAATTAACGAAAATATGATTTTGCTTTGTTTGAAAACAAAATAAATTTTTTTTTGTTTATATTTGAAAGATAACATTGTTGTTATGAGTATAACTTATATATATATATATATATATATATATATATATATATATATATATATATATATATATATATATATATATATATATATATATATATATATATATATATACATATATATATATATATGTATACATATATATATATATATGTATATATATATATATGTATATATATATATATATATATATATATATTAAATATCACAATTAATTTAAAAAACCCAACTTTTATCCTAATTTTATATAATCTATAATGATTAATCAATTTTATATAATCTATAATGATCAATCAACTTTTTTTTAAGTTTAGCGCAACAGTTTTTAATTGCATTCGTGTAAGAATTACCTTTTGAAAACAATGTCCAATTGGACAACTACTACAATTAGACAACAATTTCAACACTATATTTTCCTTAAGAGAAATGTAGTGTTGAAATTGTTAAAATTTGTATAAAGAGAGTATATTATTAATTATTGTCCAAGGGGAATTTTTGTGTAGCAATCATTACAATAAATATTGGAAAGACAAAAAACTTGTCAATTTATATTACTATTTGTATTTGACGCAAACCAGCAATATTTTTAACATTTGTATTAGACGCAAACCAGCAACATTGAAAAACCGTTTTATATTTCATTCTAACAAAATAAGTTCAAAAAGGAAAACAAGTTTAGCATGGAAATACTTCATAATTGAAGCAAACAATTCAAGAATAGTTCAATGCAAAATATGCAACAGCAAAGTTTCAAGAAGATCAGACGACCCCAAAAAACAAGAATTATAGCGCCAAACCTGAAGAATCATCATCCTGACATCAAATTTATGCCAGAAAGTTCAGGAAATCCAAAAGCCAACAAAGAAGCTGAATTGAAATTAAACAAAAGAAAGACTGTTGCAATCTTCAATATACGATCAAAAAAACAAAGTATTGACATGTTAAAATCTACAATTTCAAACTGGGTTCAAACTTCTTTAAAAATTGGCTCTAATTCTGAAAAAGGCCAAAAATTTAAAAAGTCAATATTTGAAATGATGGTTCTTGACCTCTAACTGTGGTCTATTGTTAATGATGGTGGGTTTTCGAGGCACCATGCTCTTGTTGCTCCAAATTACGAAATTGCTTACGAAAAAGAATATTACAGAAGTTTACTGGATCCAACTTATGAAAAAATAAAATTTGCTCTCAAGGAAAAGTTGGTTTAATCAGAAGCTGAAAGTGTGTCATTCTGTCTTAATATATGGTCATCATTTCATCATGGCTATCTGGGGATGACGGTTCACTTTATTTTCAAAGATGGGAACCGTGTCAAATTCTTCATCTCTTGTTCTCAATTTGATGAAAAACCGCAAAAAAGATTTTCAACAAGATCAAAACAACAGCAGAGGAGTGGAAAATTTCTTCAAAAACTGAAGTTTGCTTAAGAGCAATGAGGCAAATGTAAAGGCAGCCCTTAATGAACCAAGCTGTAAATATGTATCAGCTGGATGTCTTAACTACTTCCTTCAACTTGTCACCAAAAAAAAACTATTTTCACATCCAATCATAGACGGACTGATTGCAAAGAGGCGAAAATTCTGTTCTTACGCACCCCATTCTGCTGCTTTCTACACTGAAGTTTACAGA